GAAAGAGTTAGTGTATTGAAACGGGCAGGCGTTTTCTGCTTTTGTTCAGTCCAGTCCTGTCCCCCAGAAGACAAACATGCACAAGAGGGGGGGAAAAGACCCGCCCAGGGAGAAAATCCAGCTTCGGTCTCTGGTGTTACCTCTTACGTGAAACCTCAGTACTAGAAAACCCCAAGATGTGGTCCTACCAGCCTCTCCCCCAGCCTGGCTGTTGACTAACTGCTGCTTTGGTTAACTCCGCCCCTCCACCCTGCCTTGTTTTTTAAGAACGCCAAAGGGGAGCAACAGGCAGATGAGTTCATTCCCTCATTTTGTTCATCTTTTGTCCATGGATTCCTACTCCTGCACTCACCCCTGCCAGACGCATATTCCTTAACATAGTCCTTGAGCATCAGCCGGGCTTTTTGCTGAGACTAGTTCAGCCTCTTTGTCTCCCGTAAGAGGCTGAACTGCGCCACTTTTTATAGGTTGTCTTGACGTTTTTATAACCCTTCGCTCACTTGTTACAGTTAAACTCACGCTTGGGCTAGGCGGGTAGGCCCAGCTATTAAAGCAGAGCCTGGGAGCAAGGAAGGAGCTTTATGTACGAGAGAGAGGTGGTTTCCTCCCTTTCTTCTAGCCCTGGAGCTGTCGGGAAGACAAACGTGCCAGTGAGGAGAAAACCGCAGAACTGCTGCCCGTTGCTGGGATGACGGGCAGCTGTCTCTCCACGCGCCAGGTCTTACCAGGTAAAATATGGAGAAGCTCTTTCTCCTGAACGTGCCTGAGAGAGCTGGAGGGTGGTACCATTGCTAGAAGCTCCTGGCCAGGAGCTGCTCCGGTAATGAAGGAGGCCAGGCACTGAAGAGAGAAATGTTGGAATTCAGTCTAGAAAAACTCTCTCATGGCCCCACACCCAGCCACAGAGGACGCAATCAGCACGGAGCGGGTCTATCCAGCAAACCAGCTTCGAGCTCCGACCCGAACCATAGGACCAAGCAAGACTCCAGTGATACCCATGGGAGATAAGTCTCAGAGGGGTTGCCGGGTTAGTCTGTAGCTGCAAACACAACGAGGAGCCTGTGGCACCTAAGAGATTAACCGATTTATTGGGCAAACACTAGGGTGGGCAGAGACCCTCTTGGTCAGATGAATCTGTTGAAGGGAGTCTTTGCCCATGGAAGCTGCTGCCCAAATAAATCTCCCCGTGGGTTTTGCATGGTCGCTGTTGCCTTGTGCTCTCTTGTGGCAGACACACAGAAGATGACGGTTTCCTGCAGAGGTGCAATCGACAAGGACGGTTGGCTTGGCCCTAAGGAAGGAGGCGGAAGTGACTGCCGCTGCTGGCAGCGAGGTGTCAAAGGCTGTGACTTTGTGCGGTGTGCTGGGCATCCGACAGCCAAGAGCACCCTTTCGGGCCCGTAGGGGGGCAGCAGCCATGCGCTCCGTGGCGTGGCTAGCTTTCCATCCCGTGCCCCAGCTGCTAAGGGGGGAGGGGGAAGAGCTTGAACTCAACGCATTCCTCTCACACCTGGCGGCTGCCCCCCTGTGCCCTTGAAATGGCGCCCTGGCCGACAACTCTGCAAATTGGGCGTGAGGGGAGCTTAAAACGGAGGCAAATAGAAGCAGAACCTGGAGAACTCTGAGCTAGCTGGTCTGCCTTGACGTTGCAGAGCGCAGACACGAGGTGAGCGCGCTTCCTGGGCCACAGATCTTGTGGCAAGCTTTCCCTTGTGGGAGAGAAGGGCCCCGCTCAGGCCTCATCAGTGGCTAATTCTGGGTGATGGCTGCCTGTCCATCTGAGCCCGCCCTCTCTCAGCGGCCTGAGGGCCTGGGAGATTTTCTTAACCGGATCAGGCACGGACCTGCGCGTTCTCTCCTGACGAAATCTACGGGCCCACTCCAGCCAGGGTAGATGGGGAGACAGAGCGAGACTGTTTCCTGTCGCCTTTCTACCAGCAGCCCATGGAAACACACACAAGGCAGCAGCACGTTTACGGGGCCACGCGCGAAGGATGAGAAACTTGCTCAAAGGAGCAGGGAAGGCCTGTGCCCCTCCTCAGGGACCCTTCTGGCATCACCAAGGGTCAGGACAGCACGCCGCCCCACCTCCAGAGTCCAGGAGCATGGTGGGAAGTGGCATCGTTTTCTCCCCTTCCTCCCGCTAAGGAAATGGAGAAACTCACTGTTCCCTCCCCCGTGGGTTATGTCTCTTCTAAAGATCCTTCTAATTGTAGTGGGCCCAGCATTGGTGAAAGCCGTGTGGGTGGATCAGT